ATGAAATCAATTGATAGATCGATCGTCGAGCGTGATTGACAGCCATTCGTTAATGATAATCAGGAGACGGAATGTGACGTGTCACGTGGCCAGTGCCAAGTGCCGTGTGTGGGTGTCGTTTTCAGCATCACGATAACGATCGTGATTCTGTTACATGTATAGAGGAGTGAAATACGTGGTGCGCACAGTTAACCGAGGGCAACTGAGGGCAAACAGGTGCGTGTGTGCAACGTCAGGGTTCCACGGACAAGCTGCCAGTTGTTAAGGGGCGACGCAGGTGCAAACGGGTTCGGCCGGGTGTGCACGTTGAGGCCGGAGGTGTTGCCAGGGAGATGGGAGATGGGGGCGATGATAAGGTGATTAATGTGACATCTGGCGCTAGCCTGGCGAGAGCTAAAGAGATGCATGGGAGGTCTGGGATAATTAGCAGAGTGATATAAGGGTGTGTGCGTGAGCGTAGAGGGAGTAGTTGCTGGAGACAAGAGCGAAGACAACTCATCGCTGCGACTCGAGCCGTCAATGGGACCTCAACCCTCATGCATCGCCGGGCGGGTATTGGCTCATCCCCCTGCCCGGGACAGACAGGTGAGTAGGTCTGAGGAAGCATAGGTGAGGGCAGCACCGGAGATATAGACTAGCGGTGTGCAAGATAATTCGTTTTTAAATCTAGATATTGTAAAAGTGCACAGCTGCAGTGGATTCCAAGTTTCGGGAGGAGCGTTACAGATGCCGGAGAAGCTGCGCATCTGAAGGCGCAGCGCGATGATGCGGTGACCTTCTCTAGGATAAGGAAGCATGCAATGAGGTGACCGTCTTTGTTCGACAGCTGAGACACAAGCTGCTGCCGCTGCGGCTGCAAAGATGCTGAGTGGAGTGGTCGCCATGATGGTTTATAGCTCCTTGCTGATGACATCAGCAGCGAGGCGTTGCGGTCCATTTGAGGCAAGGAGCGTCTTGTCGGGTGCGGGTGGCAATGGGATTGGGGTGACAGGTGAGAGGAAATAATTTAAAATATCTGAAGCTAGGTCGCGGTGTGAATGCGCTACGGAGTGCGCGATGTAGAGCCGGTCGTGCTGCACAGTCTGGAAGCGTGTTGACTCTTTATCTTACCAGGTGTAAGGTCCCGCTGAGCGGAGTAGCAGCTCTTTGTTCAGAAGCGATCTGGCCATCAATAACGATAGCAGCTCAACCATGTGACTGATATCATTATCACACAGAGACCCATAGACTCACAGAGACCCAAGCACATGGAGTCACACCCAAACTCATAGAGACCGATACCCATAGAGATCCATACCCATAGAGACCCATACCCATAGAGATCCATACCCATACTCATAGAGACCCATACCCATAGAGACCCATACCCATAGAGACCCATACCCATAGAGACCCATACCCATAGAGACCCATACTAAAACTAAACTACGTATTTATCTTACCCGGTGTAATTCCCAATGAGCCGTGTAGCAGCTCTTTGTTCAGAAGAGATATGGCTATCAATAACTATAGCAGCTCAACTAAGTGGCTGCTATCACCGTCACCGTCATATAGATGGAGTGGGTCCAAGCACGGCGCACACTAAGGCTTGGAGGCAACACTGTTCATTAACCAACATTACATAACCCTTAACAGAACAACAGCACAAGGTGGTAACCCACAATTCCTACACCTCGCTATGTACACTGGGAGCAGATGGCTATGTACATTCTGGAACGACGACTGCAAATCGGACCAGGTGAGCCAACACGCTGCCTGGTCCACAAGACGTCCAGACCGCCGACGACGATGGATTCTTCTCAGCCAGGACCGACCCCGCTACCCCCCCGGGGCTCGGCTTTTATCCTCACGGCGTGACCACGCCCCCCCCCTGGCCACGCCTCCTTTCCCGATCCTTCGCGAGGGTTCAGGGCCCACGTCACGTGTTCCTCAACTCTGGCACCCCCACCGTCCGCCCCACATCCGGTCACGTGCCCCTTCCTGTTTACCCAGCCTCCCCTGCTGTGCCCATCCGGCGTCTGGGGAGAGGCTCCGCCCCTAAAGTACCTCCAACATGGTTCTGTCTCTACACACGGGTACTCACACCAACGACACTACGTAGACATTTAATACACACACATAGAGACCGATAGAGACTGGTAGACATACTTAGAGATACATAGTGAATACAGAGATACACAGAGACATAAAGACACGTAAATACACATAGCGATTATAGACCCATGGAGACCCATCGAGACCCATAGAGACACACATAGAGATGCTTAGAGATCCTTGGAGATCCGTAGAGACCAACAGATACACATGGACTCCCACAGACTCATCTAAGACTATATTTATTTTACCAAGTGAGGCTGTTTGTGTGGTGTAAAGAGCTCCATCTGATAATAATTCTGTACCCGCTGATCGGGCGCATTGCGGTGTCTATGAACGGTGGTCGCGTTCTCTCGCGAGCTTCCGCTTTGTGGTGTCCCCCAAGGGTCTATTCTGGGCGCTGTTCTCTTCACCGCATGGAGATTCTTCCTCTTGGCAAAGTCATTTCAAGCGTCGGTGTAAAACTCCGTTTCTGTGCCGATGATACACAGTGCTCCACAGTGGCTAGAGAGATGTTAACGATCTTGCCTGATTGCAGGTAGTTGTGGGTTTGATCTCGATCCTGACGCTTGTATATTTGGTATATTTGGTTTGTATTTCTCTCATCATCATCATGGTGGCTATAAAGATGTTAACTACTTCTCCTGGTATATACAGGAGGCCATGGAATCGATCCCAGACCCTGACAACGACTACTGTATGATCCGACTTTGCATCTCTCTCTCCCCCCCCCCCCCCCCCCCCGTGGTTGCGTGGATTTCTCTCCGGGTCCTCCGGTTTTTTCCCTCCACGTTTAGAATCAACGTCGCCACGCGTTTAGAGTATCAGGCTACAGTAAAACAGCGAGACAAGGCAGGGACGGCAAGATGGACAGAGAAGAGGCACACACACAGAGATGGGGCTACAGAGCGTCACAGCGAGTTGTATCGGGATAGGGATCAAGAGAACAAGGAGTTGCTGGGTGAGCTAGACAAGATATCCCCTCAGAACCATCGAGGGATACACAGAGATACATAGAGATACCTAAAATAGTAAAGATACACATCGAGATACACATTGATATACAGAGATACATAGACACACAGAGATACGTAGATAGACGTAGATATACATAGAGACATATAGAGATACACATAGTTAGACAGCGAAACATCATAGAGTTATAAATAATATGGGAAAAGGCAAAATAACAACATGAAAAGAAAACAAAAGTCCAGGAATGGAAGGCGTAAGACAGACAGAGAGGAGATACAGAGACACAAATAGAGAGACAGAAAGAGACAAACAGGGAAAGAGAAACACAACGCATTCAAGAGAGACAGAGGGAGAGAGAGAAATATAAATAGAGACATACTTTTAAACAACTTTTAGTGCCGCCAGCAGCAACAGCACTGGAGGCGATTCCGATATGAAATACACAAAGTCACCAGCAAACAAATGTAATGCAAGCAAGGAATGAGGGGGCAGAGTCTGGGTCACGTGAGGAGAAGGAGGAGTCAGGGTCACGTGAGGAGAAGGAGGAGTCAGGGTCACGTCGGAGAGAGGATTTAGGTGGAGAACCGGAAGGGATCGGGGAGTGGAGAAGGAGTGGAAACAGGAGGAGGCCACGCTGGGCAGTTGCGAGAGGGTGGCGCGATTGCCACGTGGTGGAAGGCCACGGCACCGTCGGCCAGCGGTGTACGTGGGGCACAGCAGAGCTAGTGGGCTAGAGTTAGTGGAGTAGAGCTAGCAGAGGAGAGCTAGTGGAGTGTGGGAAGCTAGCCGGGCGTGAAGAGCTAGCAGAGTGTGCGGGGCACACGGAGCAGCAGTGTGGCTGCAGACGGAGCAGCGGTGTGGCTGCAGACGGAGCAGCGGTGTGGCTGCAGGGTGCACGGTGGAGGAGGTACGGGTCTGAGCGAGGACGCCGTAGGGGCGAGAGAGACAAGAACCCGAATAAAGGACAAAGGAGATCTACACTGTTGAAAAGTCCTTTATTACACAAATCAACAAAAGCTATAAATCCACGCGCTGTGGCACTAAATGCAACGCGCACAACACGAAATAAAAGTCACGTGGTGGTGGTCATCGCGCACGCCACAGTGACGAGCGAGCGCTTCAGAAGGTGAACACGAGGGTGCCGTCCACGGCGTTCGAAGAAGATGCGCACATCACCGACGTGTGTGTGGTACATGGCGTGCTCCAGCCCGAGCCGCGCCTTGAGCAGGCCCCTGAACACTGGAAGCACAGAGCAGCCGTCAGTGTCACCTTCCAGCATCTTTTTCCTCGTTCTGTACACCGCCATCTTCGCCTGAGCACAGGCAAGGTTGGCGAGGTCATGGCGCTTGTTAGCCAGGTAAGGCACCCCATATACGATGCTGCTGTTGTAGAAGGGCACCCCCAGTTTCCTGAAGATGTCCCCTAAAAGGTGGAACATTGGTTTGAGGCGCTGGCAGCATAATTACTTTTGGGGCAGGGACATAGAAAGAAAGACAGAGAGAGAGACAGAGAGAGAAACATAGAAAGACAGAGGGAGATAGAGAGGTAGAGAGAGAGAGAAAAAAATACAGAGGGAGAAACAGAGATAGAGACAAAGACAAACAGAGGGATAGAGAGACTAGGAGAGAGACAGGGATAAAAGCCGTAGCTATGAGACATGATTCACTAACGTCTGTCAGAAGCAAGCAAATCTTAATCTACAAGACACAACACTGAACATCTTAAAGCACAACATGCGTGTTCAGTACCAGCTCTGTATGCCTGCGAGAACTGGACATTAAAACAAAGACGGACAGAGATAAGATATTGACACTCGAAATGTATTGCAGCTGCTGCTGCTGTGACCACTCCATGACTCCCCGCACTGCGAGCTCAGTCGAGGCTCTCACCGCGCTGTCCGCTCGCTGCCGTGCCGAGTGAGCGGACAGCCGCTATTGGTACCTGAGCAGCGCGCCTGGTCGGGGTCCACATTCCAATCGGACTTCCTCACGACTCCTGGGTGCTGAGAGATCCATCGGCTGATGTACAGGATGTCTGAACAGGCGCAGTTGGCCGGAGAATAATCATCTTATACATTGTGTAGATTTATATTAGCATCACCACAACGATCACGATTCTGTGACAGGTGCAGAAAGTTTGAACGCCTCCAACTCAGTAGTCGTTTGCAGGAGGTCATGCGTTCGATCCCGAACCTGACGTCTTCTGTATATTTGGAGTTTGAGTGTCTCTCTGCCCATGGTCACGTGTTTATTTAATCGGGTCCTCCCGTTTTCCCTCCACCATTATAATCAAAGTCACACGTTTAAAGCATTTGGATACTGCTATGAATATCCAGGTGAAGATGATATCAGCCACTTCGTTCAGTTGTCACAGCCGATGCCCTTCTGAACAAGGATCTACAGTATATAGCTTTACCTGATTTATTTTTCGTCTACAGGTCTATCCGAGTCTCTGGGTCTCTTTTGGTCTATGGTTCTCTATGATATATGGGTCTCTATTGGTCTCTTGGGCTTTCAATCGATTTGTACGAGTATGGGTTGCTATGGGTCTCTGTTGGTTTCTGTGGGTCTCTGTTGATGTCTATGGTTCTGTATCTGGATCTCTTTGTGCCTCTTTGGGTCTGTATGAGTTGTGAGTGTCTATTGGTCTCTGTGGGTGTAGTTTAGATAACGTCAACAACAACAACAAGGTCAACAACAACAACAACAATGGTGGTGGTTGTGCAATGCTGCAGGTGAACGCGTTGCAGAGCTCCTCCTCTGATACCAAAGAAACTGCCGCACCGGGAGATACAATTATAATGGGGCGGTGCCGACCTGTGGCCGTGCGAGTTCAGCGGTGGTGGCGGTGGTGCAGAAACCCTGGACAGCACCACGGAGCGCATGGACACGGAGCGCAGAAAAACGTAGCTTGCTACACACGATGCGTAGTGATGCGTTGTGACGCGTTGTGACGCGTTGTGACGCGTTGTGACGCGTGGTGACGCGTGGTGACGCGTGGTGACGCGTTGTGACGCGTGGGGACGCGTGGTGACGCGTGGTGACACGTGATGACGCGTTGTGACGCGTGGTGACACGTGATGACGCGTGGTGACGCGTTGTGACGCGTGGTGACGCGTGGTGACGCGTGGTGACACGTGATGACGCGTTGTGACGCGTGGTGGCACGTGGTGACGCGTGGTGACGCGTTGTGACGCGTGGTGACGCGTGGTGACACGTGGTGACGCGTTGTGACGCGTGGTGACGCGTTGTGACGTGTTGTGACGCGTGGTGACGCGTTGTGACGCGTTGTGACGCGTTGTGACGTGTTGTGACGCGTTGTGACGCGTGGTGACGCGTGGTGACACGTGGTGACGCGTGGTGACGCGTGGTGATGCACGTGGCTCACGATACACGACTTGCAGTGACGCGTAGTGAACGCAGGTCACGTGAGTCCGCGTGAGTTCACGTGAACGTCACCACTCCACTATGAGACCTCCTTTACCAGTGGCAAAATATAGTGATAGGCGTACAACTCAAAGACAGCGCACTATCAGAGTATTGAGAGCTCGGGGTAAGCATTTACACTATGAGAACTCCTTTACCAGTGGCATCTGGTCCAACACCAATGGAGACTAGGCTCTAAGGAAAGCTGTCTCGGTTGTGGACCAATCAACTTCAAGGACAGTGCATATCATTATCATCATCAGAGTTGTTTCTTTTTGTTTGCATTTTGACTGCTTGTGTTGTGGTTATTGCAAACATGATGCATTGTATACAGGTGTCAGTTTTGTACCAGTTGAAAGGGTAAAAACCTGTCACCACTCCAGTTGAAGAGCATCCCGCATGGAGCGTTCGACCGTCTCAGCTCCCTCACCCACGCCTATTTCTTTAGCAACCCATGGGAGTGCGAGGGCAGGGGACGAGCGTGGCTCTGCGGTGTGGGAGCTATGCACCAGGCTGTGTGTGTGTAGTACGCGTGCTGTGTGGAGCTACGTTGGTGTTGTGTGCATGGCACGTGGTGTGTGCGTGTGTATGTTGTCTTTGTGTATCTGTGCTGGGCTTCATAGGCGCTTCTACTCGCTAACAGTACTTGCTCCAACAGTCTATTGAGGCTAAAAGGGGGGTCTTTGTCTTTCTCTTTGCATCTGTGTGTGTGTCTGTATCTGTGTGTGTGTCTGTATCTGTGTGTGTGTGTGTGTCTGTGTGCATCTGTGTGTCTATGTGTTTCTGTGTGTATATCTGTGTGAATCAGTGCCAGCATTTATAGGCGCTTCTACTCGCTAAAAGCACTTGCCCCAAAAGTATGTTAAGGCTACACGGGTTTTTTTTGTCTTTGTATCTGTGTGTGTATCTGTGTGTGTATCTACGTGTGTACTGTGTGTGTATCTGTGTGTATGTGTGTGTATGTGTATTGTGTGTATTGTGTGTGTGTTGTGTGTATTGTGTGTGTGTGTATCTGTGTGTGTGTATGTGTGTGTATTGTGTGTATGTGTGTCTGTGTGTATGTGTGTGTCTGTGTGTGTATGTGTATCTGTGTGTGTATTGTGTGTGTATCTGTGTGTGTGTGTATTGTGTGTGTATCTGTGTATGTGTATTGTGTGTATGTGTGTGTCTGTGTGTATCTGTGTGTGTGTCTGTGTGTTTGTTTGTGTATGTGTGTGTGTGTATCTGTGTGTGTGTGTATCTGTGTGTGTGTGTATGTGTGTGTGTGTATCTGTGTGTGTATGTGTATTGTGTGTGTGTGTATGTGTGTGTGTGTTTGTTGTGTGTGGGCAGCGTTAGTGTAGCGGTGCGTGTGCTGTGCTACGAACCTGGCCACTCGGGTTCGATTCCCACTCACGGCCAACACCAGTGACGATATTTAAACCACTCTTCGGCCTCCTCTAGGTCGACTCAGCCTCAAATGAGCACCTGGTGCAGTGGGTAAACATCGCCACTGGTAACACAAAGGTGGTCCGCGTAGTGCTGGCCACCCACCCCCTCGTGCGCCGTTCTGGCCTTCATAGGTGCTCGCAAACAGCACTTGCCCCAACAGTCTGTTGCAGGCTATACGGAGATCTGTGTTTTTGTCTTATTTTGTAGTGTTCTCTCTCACATCCTAAAAGTTTACCGGCGTTGTGTTGCATTGAGATTATTTAAAGAAGTGTTTTTTAACCTTTAACTGCAACTTGCTCCACTTTGGTTCTTAATCGTAAAAAAACGCATACTGTGAATAAACACAGAGGGTTTAATGAAACATTTGTGTTTCGATCATTTTCCTTCTAAAAATAATCTGCCCGTGTCTCGCACCCCCAGGGTGTGCGTGCTGCACCCCAGACTAAGAAGAGCCACTGGGCTTAGAGTGTGGAGCTGCCTGTGCCGGTTACCAACAGCGTGGCCGTTATTGGTACCAGAGCACTTTGCGCTGTCTGGGTTCACGGTCCACGACGACCCAGTCCACTGCTCCCGCACGATGCCCGAGTGCTGAGCGACCCAGCCACTCAAGTAGAGGATGTCCGTGCACTGACAGTCCCAGGGGTGTGGAGCGGAATGATCTATAACTCTGCACATAAAGCACTCAGCCTGACTAGAACAACAACAACCTGCAGCTTCAGCTCCTCCATTAGAACAACGCCCACCTCTTGTCTCCTAGACCTGCATCTTTATCTTGCTACTGGTACTCACTGCCCCTGCAAACCAGCTATCAGCAGGGCTACCCCTACCACTATCACTACCACTACCCCTACCACTATCACTACCCCTATCACTATCACTATCCCAACCCCAATCACCACCCCTAACTCAACCTCTGTTACTACCCAAACACCTATCACTACCCCAACCCGTATCACTACCCCTTTCACGAACTCTATCACTACCCTAAACATTGTCACTAAGCGATGACCACCACAACGACTACCCCAACCCCTATTAGTGCCCCAAACTCTACGCAACGCAAAAGCGAAACGTCTCACAGCGCGGTTCGCTTCTAGCCTGGGGGACCGCCCAAAGGCAGTGTCGCTGTGCAGTGCAAGGTGACTCGGAACCTGCCTGCAACCTGTAACCAGGCTGATGATGATGCAGCTGATGACGATGATGATGCAGCTCATCCAGATGATGATGATGCAGCTCATGATGATGATGATGCTGTAGCTGAGTATTATGATGATGCAGCTGATGATGTTGCTGCAGCTAATGAAGACGATGCAGCTGATGGTGATGATGATATTAGAGAAGTCCACGTCTCTAGTCCGAGTTGGTTCTGTTTGAGCACCACCACAACAGAGCGAGAAGCCACGTGGCCCTGACGTCACAGTAGACCAAGACCCAGACACCATGAGAAGTCATGTGGCCCTGACGTCACAGTAGACCAAGACCCAGACACCATGAGAAGTCACGTGGCCCTGACGTCACAGTAGACCAAGACCCAGACACCATGAGAAGCCACGTGGCCCTGACGTCACAGTAGACCAAGACCCAGACGCCATGAGAAGTCACGTGGCCCTGACGTCATAGTAGACCAAGACCCAGACACCATGAGAAGCCACGTGGCCCTGACGTCACAGTAGACCAAGACCCAGACGCCATGAGAAGTCACGTGGCCCTCAAGTCACAACAACAACAACAACATTGCAATCCCTGCCGACATGAGATGCTGTAATCTTGTCATCACCACCACAACTGCTGTGGTCCAGAGCGCCATCAGTGTTTTCGAAATCACCAAAATGAAGCTATAAAAACAATGTAACAACAGTAATCATAGGAACTGTGATTCAAATTGAACAATAAACGATATGCATAACATGTACGATCAAACTTGCAGCCATAGCTGCAGCATGATACTCCCAGTGTATGATGTGTGAGTGAGTCAGTGGTAGTGTGAGTGAGTTTATGATGTATATGGTACGGGTGGGAATGAGATTGGGGGGACAGGTGAGAGGAAGTCATTAAAATATCTGAAGACAGGTCGCGGTGTGAATGTACTACGGGGTGAGTGATATAGAGGCGGTGTCTATGAACGGTGGTCGCGTTCTCTCGCGAGCTTCCGCTTTGCGGTGTCCCCCAAGGGTCTATTCTGGGCGCTGTTCTCGTCACCGCGTGGAGATTCTTCCTCTTGGCAAAGTCATTTCAAGCTTCGGTGTAAAACTCCGTGTATGTGCTGATGATACTCAGGGCGCCACAGTGGCGATAGAGATGTTAATTACTTCGCCTTGTTTGCAGGATGTCATGGGTTCGATCCCAGTCTCTGACAACGCCTGCTGTATGACCCGACTTTGCATCTCTCTCTCTCCCCGTGGTCGCGTGGATTTCTCTCCGGGTCCTCTGGTTTTTTCCCTCCACGTTTAGAATCAACGTCGCCACGCGTTTAGAGCATCGGGCTGCAGTAGAACAGCGAGACAAGGCAGGGACGGCAAGATGGACATAGAAGAGAGACCCACAGAGATGGAGCTACTGAGTATCACAGCGAGTTGTTTTGTGATAGGGATCAAGAGAATAACGAGCTGCTGGGTGAGCTAAACAAGATATCCCCTCAGCACCACCGGGAGATACAGAGACACGTATACATACAGAGATACATAGAGATACATATAAATACACCTAGAGATACACATACTTACACAGATATACATAGAAATACATAAAGATTAAAAGAGAAGCGTATAGATACACATGGAGAAACATAGAGATACACGTAGATTAATGTAGATATACATAGACACTTAGAAATATATAAATACACACGTACTTAGATATATACAGAGATACATAGAGATACATAGATATATACAAGTAGAAATACATATACACGTAGATACACAGAGATAGATAGAGATACATAGAGATATTTAGAGAGTAACATATAGAGACATAGAGATATATTGATTTACACAGATACATAGAGATAGAGACACGTAGAAATCCACCTAGATACATAGAGGTATAAAGAGATACACAGAGATACGTAGAGATGAGACGATGATGACGGTGATGATGAGGCTCGTGGCAGAGAGAGCGAAGAGAACGGGAAGGAAGCTGCTGAGCACTGCAGGGAAGACTTCCCCTCAGCACCACCGAGGGGGGTGATGACAATGATGACATCTCGTACGAAGAAATGGGAAAGGAAAAATAACAACATCTGAAGAGAACGCAAAAGTCCTGGAGTGGACGGCATAAGAAAGACAGAAACAGAGAGAAAGACAGAGCAAGAGAGAGACGGAGAGAAATACATTGCCAGACAGAAAAATACAGGATGAGAGACGGCTAGAGACAGAGAGAAAGATATAATAAGAGACAAAGAGAGACGGACGGAGACAGAGAGAGAGGCGGGAGGAGAGACAGACATAGAGACAGACAGAGAGAATGGTTCCCAAAAGCAGTAGGTATGATACAGGATTCACTAACATTTGACAGAAGCAAGCAATCTTAACCTAGAAGGCCAAACACTGAACATGTTAAAGAACAACATGCGTGTTCAGTAGCAGCTCTCTATACCTGCGAGAATTGGACATTATAACAAGGACTGACAGAGATAAGATGTTGACACTCGACATGTATTGCAGCTGCTGCTGCTGCTGCTGTGACCACTCCAGGACTCCCCGCACTGCGAGCTCAGTCGAGGCTCTCACCGCGCTGTCCGCTCGCTGCCGTGCCGAGTGAGCGGACAGCCGCTATTGGTACCAGAGCAGCGCGCTGAGTCGGGGACCACTCTGTTCCAACCATCATCTGCCGTCCTCACGACTCCTGGGTGCTGAGAAATCCAGCGGCTGAGATACAGGATGTCTGAGCAAGAGCAGTTGGCCGGAGAATAATCATCTTATACTTCGTACAGATTTATATATAGCAGTGTCTTATTCTTATTAATATTTACATAGCTCTGCCGTATTCTTATATCGTATATAGATAAAAAAATAGTACAGCCTTTTTCTCATATTTTACTTAAATTTACATAGAGCAGAGCCTTATTGTGATATCTTATATAGATTTAAATATGCTAGTGACTTATTCTTATATCCTATGTAGATTTATTGCAGCGCTTTATTTTCACAACTTCCATAGATGTATATATAGCAGCTCCTTAATTATTATATCTTAAGGACACTGATGATGCTGCAGCTGATGGTGATGATAAAGGAGTCCACATCTCCATTCCGAGTTGGTTTTGTTTGACCACCACTACCGTGCAAGAATCCACATGGCCCTGACGTCTTAGTAGCGCAAGGCCCAAACGCCATGAGAAGCCACATGGCCCTAACATCACAGTAGGCCAAGGCCCAAACGCCATGAGAAGTCACATGGCCCGAACATCACAGTCGGCCAAGGCCTAGACGCCATGAGAAACCACGTGGCCCTGACGTCACAAGAGACCAAGGCCCATACGCCATGAGAAGTCACGTGGCTCTGACGTCACAATAACAGCAGACACAACAACACTGCTCTCGCCCACAGCGCCATCGCTGGTGATCGCCATCAGTGAACCGCCAGTTCACTGACACCGTGAGCAGTCCGTTCACTAACGCTCTGAACCCATCACCAGGTACATTACATTATATTTCGATATTTTACGAGGTTATTTAATGTTAGTGTGTCTTTCTCCTGATTTTCAAGCTTGCGTTGCCGTGCCACGTCGTCATCTTACTTGCAGCAGCATCACGTTGCCGTCCACTCATTGACATGCTAATTTTTTCTCTGCCCCCTCCCTCTCTCCGCCCCCGCCCCCCTCTCTATATTTAAGGCACCGTCACAGAAACGACCTCTCTCCTTGTGCCGATACGTGTCCTCTCTCTGTGTGTCCTTGTGATGTCTGTCTGCTTGTATGTCTGTCTATAGTTTTCTAGTTAGATTTTTGTTGCTATTTCTTTTATGCCTGATGATGATTGCTTGTGTTGCAATCGAAACGTCGTAATATGCTATTATTTAATTTATTATTATATCTTTAGACGTGACTTAACCGAAAGAACCAAAGAATAAGAACCATTACCAGGTAACCAACGCTACTGGTGCGTGGACAACGAAGGGGAGTGAGTATGCTACAGTTCACCGTCTCGCTTCGAATGCGCTCTGTGTTTACAATTCAGGAGATTGGCCGTCAATTAAATAAATAGATCGATTGGTGAGCGGTCACGTGATTGACAGTCGTTCCTTAAGTGATCATCAGGTGACAGGATGCGAAGCGTGACGCGTCACGTGATCAGTGCGACGTCCCGCGTGTGATGTCGTTATTAGCATCACGACAACGTGATGCTAATAACACACAAGCAGATGGAGACACACACAGAGAGACACACAGAGCCACACACAGAGACACACAGAGACACACAGAGAGACACACAGAGAGACACACAGAGACACACAGAGACATAGAGACATAGAGACACACAGAGACACACAGAGACACACAGAGACACACACAGAGAGAGACACACACAGAGACACACACAGAGAGAGACACACACAGAGACACACACAGAGAGAGACACACACAGAGACACACACAGAGACACACACAGAGAGAGACACACACA